CTCCAGGAGCCCCTAGTAGCGTCCTTGCTCCTAGTAGGGAAGCCAGGAGCCCCTAGAAAGCTTCTTGTTCGTTCTTCTTGTTTGTTTCTATTAGTGATGGCCTCCAGCCTAAGAGCGATGGCCTCCAGCCTAATAGCGATGGTCTCCCCGTTATCCCCGGAACTGCAGAAGAACACCGAGCCCGAGCCTGTAAACGCTGCTTGTCCCCTCATAGCGGCCAGGCCAGGAACTGCCTTCCTCTGTGGGCGGTGGTGCCTGCCACTAGACCACACAGAAACGATGACGGCAAGTCAGTCCAAATGTAGAGAGTCTTCTGCACTGCTTGCCTCCCATATTGTCGTGACGTCCCCATCAGCTGCATCGATTGCCGGAGATCCCCGAAGGCTTCCTGATGCAAATGCCAGGGTGGAAATTTGCGAAGTGCCTCGGACGGAGGAACAGCTTCGGAGCGTTTCTTGGGAATGGGGCTTCCGAGAAAGCTGGACAACCCAAGCGACTGAAGGAAATCTCTCTACGCAAAGTTGGACATCTATGGTGAAACTGGACCTGTCGGTAGACATTTCAATTTTGGAGTCAACTTTGGCCATCTATGATCTATGGTGAATTCCCAGGACAAAACATCCACCTGGAATCGACCGGCAATTCTACTGAATTTGCTGCCAGTTCATCACATCCCTTGCGCCGCCTTGCGCCACGGAGCAATTCGGAAAATCAAATAGCTCAATCTCTGCAACCACCCAAGCTGCTGGTGCTTTGCCTCAGTGAGGTTCGAAGACACTGGCCGAGCAAAATAGAGCAAAACACCAAAAATCGACAAGATTGCAAAAAAGGGACGACAACTATTTACATGTGTTCTTTGTTGCTTTATCTTTGTAAGCCCATTATTTTTCCGTATTTTTCCTTTCTAACTCTGTGACTGTAAAAAGATAGAGCTGACGATGTGCTCTGACAATTTTCTCTGAAAAGCCTCTGAAAAACATGTTCAAAAAGAACTCATCACCTCGCTCGGTCCGACCTGTTGGAAGGAGACGCCACAAAGTTCCCAGGCTGCGCTGGGCAACTTCCCAGCGTGCCTCAGTGAGTCCCCGTGTCAGCTCCAGTCAATATGACGGCAGTTGTGATAACATGTGTTCCACTGCGTTTCCATCAAAAAACTTCATAATAAGGAAAATTGTGTTCTCCAGAAGCTGGCCAGAGGAAGAAGCAGTGGGCATACAAACTCTCAAGCCTCTGCCCGATGAAAAGCACATGAAAGGCCACTGATTGTGGAAACCGAGGAATAGCACTGGGTAGCGCTAGGATTGTTTCCAAACAGCCTACTTCCTATTGCACGTGTGCTATCAAGATGGGCCACATCCCAAACCTCCTTATACTTGTATCGGTTCATATTCATGTGTGTGTGGCTTGTATGCGTGTTCCTGACTTACAAAACCAGCGTCAACTTGTGGTTTCTGGTGGCATCGGGACGAGAGGCCAAGTTTTCCCAGACTCCGCCAGCGGGTACCAGCTGCGAGAAAACACCTACAGAAAAGCAAGTCCAAAGCAAAAGACCGTTCCTAGTAGCGTCCTTGCTCCTAGTAACAGGTGCATCGCTAGTAGTAACAAGTGCCTTACTAGTAGTAACAAGAAGCTAGTAGAAACAATAAGCTAATAGCGTCTTTGCTCCGTTCGAAGCAAAAGACCGTTCCTAGTAGCGTCCTTGCTCCTAGTAGCGATGCCCTTTGTTGCTAGTAGCTTCTTGCTCCCAGTAGCAAGGCCAGGAGCCCCTAGTAGCGTCCTTGCTTCTAAAGTTTCGAGCTTTCACTTGAAACACCTTCTTTCTCTCCCTCTTTGAGGACCCCAAGGGCAGGAGACCGTAGCCTGTTAGATTTTGCCTTATTTGGCCAATGCTTTGAGTGTTGCTACGATTGCTGAGGTACATCCCCCATCATCCTGCAAGTGCCAAGCCACTTACGTTGAGCAAGATCGTGCCGCTCCCTGCTTGCAGTGACAAAACCCTCGCGGCACTGCCCTGCAGGCCCTGCACAAGCCTGGTAAAGCAGCTTGAAGAACCAAAACTGACAAGAGCATACAAAAGCAATGGCCATCGCTACTAGGTTGGAGTTGGAGGCCATTGCTATTAGGTTAGAGGCAATTTTGGCCACAAGGGAACGACTCTGAAAGAAGGACTCGAGAACCGAACGACTCAAGTCGATCGATCTGCGCAAAACCTCGCCTCAAGCACCGCACCTCTGAGGCCACTTGCAGCTGTGCCTCCAGGTAGGGCTCGCAATCAGTCCTGCCTAGTAGGGCGGAGCTGCCAAGATCTGCCCTTGTTACTAGTAGCGATGCACTTGTTACTAGTAGCGATGCACTTGTTACTAATAGCTTCTTGTTACTACTAGTAAGGCACTTGTTACTAGTAGCGATGCCCTTGTTACTAGTAGCTTCCTGCTACTAGTAGTAATGCCAGGAGCTACTAGTAGCTTCGTTGCTTACTTCCTTATGCTACTTCATTTCTCTCATCTTTCAGCCTGGGCGAGTTGGATACAGTATGATTGTGACATGCTGTCTTGACCTTGCCCCCCAAAAAAAAAGGTGTGGAAGTTGGTGCACTCTAAGCAGGCATTTGATCCAAGACGTGATTTGGTGAACGATGTTGACTCAAATACAGGGCCTGGGCAAGGTGAGCTCCATGTCGTGTCAAGGACGCCGTCTTGAGCCCACGCCGGTTGATTGGCCAGGTCTGCAGAGCTGCCGTTCCCTCGCAGAGTTCCAACTTGCAAAACTTGGTCTCTGATTAATGAGTTATTAATTCCCATGTTAACCACTACAGACTTACCCCGTGTAACGATTGCTTCCAAGATAAAGTTTTAAAAGCTTGTTGATCCCCACAGAGCAGCCTAGCTTGCAAACCTTCCAGCCTTCAAAAAGTGTTCCGCTGAAGCGCGCGGAGAGACGCGAATGACACTCAATGTCAGAGAAGAGTTGCCACTCTGCAACGGACCAGGGATCTTCTGCTGGCCAGCTCGACACCTTGCCACAGGCTAGGGAATGAAGGTGGTTATGAAGCCCTCGAAATCACTCGAACAGAACTTGCCTGGACTGACTTGAGATCTCTAGCATGCTATATTGTTCCATATCATGGCCACCACTAGGTTGGAGGTCATCGCTCTTGGGTTGGGGGTCATTGCTATTAAGAGCGGCTTAGACAATGTAGCTCAGCAGTGAGGACCCGGACAAGCTAGGACAAGGCCGCTCTAGCGACGACTTGGAGACGCTGGACTCCACTAGACCATTGATTCAACTTGCTTCAAGTTCAGGTGCTTTTAGCTTCACTTCCATGGAGCTGCGTGGAAGGCGTGAGAATTGTTACTACTAGTAAGGCACTTGTTACTAGTAGCGATGCACTTGTTACTAGTAGCGATGCACT